ATTCCTGCATAGGCTACAGGGTGGAGCTTGTTCTGACTTCAAGTCTGAACAGAAGGCTTTACTCTCCAGCCTGCTGGACCAGGTAAGGGGCGGGGGTGCCCAGAATATTTTATTGCATGTTCACACCACAGACACGAAGCCCGCCCCCCTCCCCCCCACTTTTCCAGGTGGGGAAAACCTCACGCTCACACACCTCCTGGTGCTCTTTCTCCTCCAGGCCAGGGCGCAGCTGCCCCACCGCAGCTCCAGTTTGCTCGCAGAGCCCGGGCATGATGCCAAGCTGACCTCAGGACATGGTTCTGTGCAAGCGTGGAGCAGGAATGGTACCCAGGGCGCGGTTCGCGGGCTGGAGATTCCCTCCAGCCAGGCTCTGCTGCAGCTGGCTACCTCCCCGTCTGAGAGGCAGCCTGAGCTGGTTTGCAGCTCCCTGGGGCTCTAGGTATTCAACTTGGGTCCGCGGAGCCCACAGCCACTGTCCCAGCTACCAGGAGCCCGGCCTTCTGGGAATGGAGATTTCCCATCCTCCCAAACCCCCGCCTGTGCGGTGGACCCCCTGAACCCTAGCTGAACTACAATACCCACAACCCCTCCGGCGCGAGCGCGCTGCCTTCTGGGAGAAGTGGTCCTAAAGACGGGGCACCCCTAGCGGCGCAGGGCCAGCTGGACTTCAAGTCCCAGCATGCCTTGCGCACGGAGAGGCGGGGGGAGGGGACCGCCGCGAGGATGTGAATGGGGAGGGGGCAGCCGCCCCCTTCCCCCCCCTTCGCGTCTCGCCGGGCCGGGGTGGGGGGAGGGGCCGGCAGAGGCGGCAGCCGCGGCGCTCGGGGAGGCAGGGCCGGCGAGGGCGGGACTGGCCCGCTGCGGGCCGACCAGTGTGCCGCGGAGCTAACGGGACCGGACGCCGGCGGCGGCTTCGCACGGGCGGAGGCGGCCACAGGAGCGGCGAGCATGGCCCGCGCGGCGCCCGGCGCTGACTGAGGTGCGCGGGCGGGAGGAAGGCGGGCGGGAGGTGGGGTGCCCCCGGCCCCTCGGTGGCCCGAGACCCCGCTGAGCGCGGCCCAGCGGCCCAGACCGGCCCGGTCCTCCCCGGCAACTTCCCCGGGGTCGGGACGCCGGGCTCCCCCCTGAGGGGCGGCGGTCCTCTCGCTGTGGCCTCAGTCTCCATGCCCGCCTTCTGCCTTTGCACAAGCAGCCGCTCCCAGCCCCCCAGGCGCGACTGTGCCAGTCCCTGCTGGCAGCCCCCAGCCCCTGCCCTGGACGGGCTGCCTCCCGCGGGCCTGACTTGCAGTCCACTACCTCGTGGGTACCCCAGCTCGGGCCGGCCCCGGCTCCTGCTCCACCTGGAGACCCCTGCCCCGCGCCTCTTGGCCAAGGTGGCTTTGCACCAACAGCATCTCTTTCCTCTGTTCCGTGCCTGGCACTGCCCGCGATGGCCCATTTGTCTCCCAACAACTTGACCTCCTTCCTTTCAACTTGGGAGAAACTGAGGCACCGCATTGCAATGGCAGGAACTTGGCCCAGGCCATGCCCCAGTGCTGTGGGGCCTGTCTGAGCCTATGTCTTGGAATGGAGGAGTCCTTTCTTCTCTCCAGTCATTCTCTGGTGACCCAGTCAAACTTCCCAACCCCCTGGCTTCAGTGCCGGGCTGAGCTCTCCTTAGTCTCCCCTTCAGCTTCTACCACTTCTATTTCCCCCTCCTCCTTCCCTGGCCTTCTCTGCTGTAGAGACGCACTCATCTCATCATTCACTCATGCTTGTTTGCTTAAGTTAGCCTTTGGAGTTCTCTCTCTTGCCAGCTGCATCCATCTCCCATGTCGCCTCTTACTTTACAGCTGCAGAAAGCACCAAAGAACAGTCAAAGGAAGTGAGTGGGGAAAGAGGAGAGAGAGGTGAGGTGCTGGTGGTCTAAGGCCCCCAAAGCCTCTTCTACCAAAGTTGCTTAGGGTGGGGTTCAGGGTGCTCTGGACCTTTGGGAAGCAGTCAGCCTAAGCCAGTAAGTAATTCACACTCCCATCTTGCCTTTGGGACAGTGGCCTAGAAGCTTGTCGGTCATCTCTTCCTCTTTTTATGCCTGGTGGACTCCAGAGTCCCTCTGAGATGGAGGGACCCTTCTATTTTGATGGAGAAGGTGGCCTAAGAGGTGTCTGAGAGACCACACCCTCATCTTGCTTCTGGAGAGGGTTGTCTCTTCAGGGAGGGATGCCTGGGAGTTGCCCTGAGCTCTTTGTGGAGGAAGACCGTGTAGGCGGAAGCTCAAGTTTAGTTGTGGTGTTCAGGTTTGAAAGGAAGGGGGAACCAGGGCTCAGAGAGGTGGCACGGACTTGCCTGTGTAATTAAATCAGTGTTTCATTTTCTTGTCTTCCTTCAGCAGTTTTTTCTCTGGGTTGTCCCTTTTCAGCCCAATTCCCAGTTACCCGGTGGGAAGTGAGGGGAGGGAGGGAAACCCATGAGCCAGGAAACTCTGGGAGTATGTTGGGGTCCCGAATGAGTAATCTTGATCTGAACCAGATGGTTCTGTGCTTCAGCACCTCCTCTCTCAGGCCTCCCCCTTGGCTGTGAAAAGGACGCCTTTAACCTTGTAACTTGAGAGTGGAGGAGGGGTGGCCAGGGGGCCAACTGTCTATGTGCGTGTGTTTATGTCTGCCTCTGCACACTCCTGTGCAAGCTTGCCAGGGTCCTGTGGGAGTGACCCTGCCCGGGAGTGCATTGTTGTGATGTGCTGTGGCATGCTCAGACCATGGAACTTTTGGAGCACAGACCCCAGATAGGGCCAATTTCCAAGCTCCAGAGAATCACTGGGTGTGGCTTCATGGCAGCGTTTCTCCCACAAGCTAAGCCTCTGGACCTAAGACACGCTTCAGTGAGAAACCCTCTGTTTGAGGTTCCTATCTGCTATTGAGAAGTCTGAAATGGCAGGATTGGAGGAGGATGTCCCAGAAAGGGTGTGCTCTTGTCCCCCCAGTCATGACAAAAGAAGATCTGAGGAGCAGAGATCCAGGAAACTGATTACTCTGCCTTGTTCTTTACTACACCTGCCTTGTGTACTTGATTTTGGCCCCTATCAGACAGGAAGTTCTTCAACTGTGTTGGTATTTTGAAGTCCTACTTACTACCTGGCTCACTCCTGACAAGCAATTTGTGTTAAGTGGAAAGGCTCCTGGTTAAAGGTTTAGGGTGGGAATCTTCACACTTGATCATGCCTGGGAATGTCTTGGATTGCTGCTTAAGGCACAGATTGCTGGGCTCTACTCCCAGGTTTTCTGGTTCAGTTCATCTGGGTGGGACTTTGAATTTGCATTTTTGCCTCGCTCCTTGGGGATATAATATTTGAAAAGTATTGGTTTAGGACCATCACATTTGCTTGGGAAAGTAACCCAGGCAGATGTAAATTCTTAAGAGAAACAGATTTCATTGCACCTTGCAGCCCCACCCAGGCTTGTTCTGGCAGCTGCACTGATTTGACCTTTCCCCTGTCCTGCTGCCCGGTGTTGGCGAGATTAATGGTAGGGTTAACATGTGGTACCTGAGTTCCCAGTCCTACTGTAATCACATGGCAGATACTGCTACCTGGTTATTTATTTATTTATTTATTTTAAATATTTATTTCTGCATACAAGAACTGGGGTACAGGTCAGAGCTGTCGGGGTGAGAGGATTCACCAGAGACAGAATGGGGAGCAGAACAGGCAGATGACTGAAATACACTGCTGAGGGGAGCAGTGGGCGAGACAGGAGAGGTCTGCTGCACCATGTGGGTAGCTCTCTGGCTGGGGATCGAACTTGTGCTGCAGTAGCTGCGGATAACGTCATAGGTTGTGTCTTAACCCCTTGCACCCCAGGGGACCCCTGCTACCACGTTATTTAAAGGAAGGCCAACAAAAGCAGTACATTCAGGAACCACACATCCCCATGTGTGGACATGGGGACGCAGGTACTGAGCCAGGCCCCTGACTGTTCTGTACCTGTCTCCTAGACCAAACAGGTTGGGGGCCTGCAAGGTGAATTCCTGCCATAGCTTCATGCTGGACAGGATGCCCTGGCATCTCTGCAATCTAGAAAAGCTGGAGCAACCACTTACATTGTGCTTTTACTTTGCAAAGCATTTTCCACCTGTTGTTTTTCAGTCCAGTGGCAGGTGTACAAGACAGAGAGAGACCCAGTTGGGGTTACTGAGGAAAAGAGAGATGTACTGTGAGTCATACAGCAGGAGTCCTGATTCCAACCCTTCAGTGGTGCATCTGCTAAACTGACAGCTACTAATAGCTGGAGAAATGGCTGCTGTTCGCTGAGTGAGGTTGCAAGCTAGGCATGGGGCTAGATGCTCTTACTGCTCCCTCGCTGACTCCTCACATCATTGTTGCAAGGTTGGCATCATTGTTGCTATCTCATAAATGAAGAACTGAGCTTTACAGAACTGATAAGACTTGTCCCAACTCAGATGCTGGTGAGTGGAGGGTCTAGGATCGGAGCTCAGTTCTTTCTGATGACACACCCTATGTTCTTTGTCACTCACAATCTTATCTTGCCCAACAAACCTGTAATTGTCATTTGTGGTTGTCTGCTCCCATTCTCTGGAACTATGAAGGGTTTCGTGGAGGAGACAATGATGATCAAGTCTCTGTCCTCTGGGAGGACTTAAAGGAGGAGGAAGTCATTCCAGAGCCTCTCATCCCAGGACTACCAGCCTGTGTCTATGCAGGCATCTCTTTTTACAATCCTGTTCCTTTCAGAAACAGATCTACTGTCTATTTGTGATTATGCAGGTGCCTCTTTTTCTCCTTTTCCTAATAAATCTGTCCTTTTGAAATGTAAACAGCGCCTCCCTGGTGGTGCAGGAAGTTGAGCACTGCACTGTGAAGCTGTCCACAACTTCTATATTGCGGGTTCGATCCCAGCCGGCCGGTGAGGGTCCCACATGGTGCAGCAGACCTCTCCTGTCTCACCTGCTGCTCCCCTCAGCAGTGTATTTTGTCAGTCTGCCTGTTCTGTTCCCCTCCTCTGTCTCTGGTAAATCCTCTCGCCCTCCCGCGCATCTGGCCTGTACCCCACTTCTTGTATAAAAATAAATAAATCTTTAAATAAAATAAAATGTAAACAAAAAAATGTCACCCCCATAGAGAGGTCAGAGGGGGCCTTTGGGATGGGGTCTGAAGGGACAGGTGGAGTTCTGGCTGTACCTGTGGATGGGAAAGTGTGCAGGCCTACCAGTGCAGAGAGAGGCCATCGTGGCACATTTAAGGAGTTTTCCCTTTTGGCTGGAGCCTGGGAGATGTATTTCAGAAAATTATGAGATCCTTTTTAGTTCCAAACAACAACTAGGCCCACTTTGGCAGGAAAGGACTTCCTTGGAAGACTATGAAAATTCCCACAGTCAGAGAGATGACTCAGGACTCATCTCCCCTCCAGGGTCTTGGTGTGAATGTGGCAGGCCTCTTCAGGGTACCACTGTTACCAGGATAAGTCTGCTCTAACTGAGCTCAGCAATTTTGTCACCACAACTTGGGATACACATCCCAGGGGGAGATGTCTGGTTGGCCCAGCCTGGAACCTTCTCCCTCCTTTGGCCAGGAAAGGACTCGGGGTGCAGGAGGCAGTTGCATGAGACTGTCTGAGGGCTAAAGTCTCCAGAAGAAGTGGACACTAAGAGATCTGACTAGAAAGGTGCTGAACGTGGACTTGAACTGGCAGATGGCAAGGGGAGTTTCCAAGCATACACACTGGCAGAAGAGTCTGGCTGGAGCTTAAGGGGACAGGAAAGGAGGCAGATCACAGAAAGCTAGATAGGGTCCAGGTGCAACATAATGAAGGCTGGGACTTGGCAGTAGAGATGGAAAGGAAGGTACCGATTCTAGCGAGATTGTGAAAGTTGATTTCATCTTCTGGAACATACACTTGATTGGGGTTTGACATTTCAGTGTCTGGGTGATGGAGGAGGAGGGAGTGCTTGCAGGAGGTGGTGTGTTCCTGTGCACTTGAAGCTGACAGCGTGCCTGGAATCCTGATGAGCTCATTACGCCTGACTCCATACTGCCTGACGTTTGGGGCCTCAGACCTGTGGTGATGGGGCTATAAAAGCCCAGGGGCCCTGCACACCCTGAAAGTAGCTGTGGCTTTATGGTCTCTGCCCATAGACCTGCATCTCTGCTGTCTGCACTTCAGCCTGGGAGGACTTCTTCCTTCCCCTTCTCGGTTTCTGTGCACCAATTTCCCCAAAGCCATGTTCTCTCTGTACCTGAGCTCTTACAACTAAAGGGCCTGGCCCAGTTTCTGGGGTCCTAGGTGTTCCACCCTTTCTGCTCAAAATGCCTGTTGGCAATAAGTCCCTGCTGACGATCAGGGCAATCATCTCCCGGTGACATTTTGCAGGGAGAGGGTCTGACCTTTGCCCACTATCTGGCGAACTGACTTTTCCTCCAGTTATGCTGTTGGTCACCAGGGATGCCTGTGTGTGTCCCTGACCAGTCATTCTAGAGTACTTCTCAGTGCCTGTTTATAAATCATTATTGTAATTACAACATATTGTCAATTGAGCTTTCGTGTTGCCATTGCAGCTCTCTCCCAAGGCACCCGGGCACAGGCTGGGGTTTGGGCTGCCCCAGCTTTCTACCGGAGAATTGGAGTTTCCTCCATAGAAATGGGAGGGAAGGAACAGGGCCCCCGGGGGGGGGGAGGGGGGCTGGGCAGGAGGACCTGTGCTGAAGGGTACTTTACCCTCACAGATTTTCAGGGAGATTATCACCTCCCTGGTGTGAAGAGGATAGTTCCCTTCAGTTCCAGCTGTTGGCATTCAAATACATGTGCTATTTTCCCATGTCTGGATGCGGGGCATTCCACCATGTACAGTAAGGTGAACCAGGGACAAGGGGAATCAAGGAGAAAAACGTAATTTTTCTTTATTTTGATATCAATGCTAGGTTTGTATTTGTATAATAGTTATATTAAAATGAAACAAATAGTTCTGGTATTGGATGTTGAAATATGCCCTTAACCCAGCTGTGACCCTCAGGGGGCTGTAATGCCCTTGCAAATGAGGAAGCCCAGAGAGGGCAAGCTATTTACTGATATCACTGTGGTTTCTGAGGTGGTAGGGGATCCAGCAGCATGTGGTCTCCATCTCTTCCTGGATAATGACCTTTGCCTTTGCGCATCCTTTCCCCAGTTTGCTCCTTTTCTTCCTCTGGAGGATCAGGGGGAAACCTACCTGAGGGACACAGAAAGGAACCCCACTTCTGTATGGTCAGGGCCTAAGACCATCCTAGTAAAGGGATCCCTCTTGTTCCCAAAGGGCAGCATTGCATGACTCAAGAGAGCACAGGGGACCTTGATGGGTTGAGGCCTAACCCAGAAATGCCAAAGAACAGTCCTCATCCTGCCCTGCCCTTTCCCTCCAGAATCCTTCAGCTGTCAAGTCCCAGCCCTGTGGGCAGGCACCAGCCTCCCTGCCAGAGCAAGCCTACAGCCTGCTGAGGAAGAAAGTCAGCAACAAGTGCAAACAGCTAATTGGCCTAGAGGGAGCTGCTCTGGTGAGGAAAAATCAACAAGTTACTTATTTGTGTGGCTACAGGGAATTTGGAGGTTTGGGGTGGGTAGTGAGGAGGGGCAGAGGAGAGGTAGAGTATAGGAAGAGACACAGAGGTGGGAGTTGCAGGGCTGGGGTGGGGAATTCCTCCCCTTCCTGTCACCCTACCTCCTCCTCCATGCCCACTTCCCCTTTCTTTCTTGTAGGGTTTCTTTGGGCTTGAAAAGGACATTAAGTAAAACTATGAATCACCTCTGCCCCCAAGGTGGAGCTCCCCTAACCCTCACTCCTACCCAAGGTCAGTTAAACACAAGGTACTGGGCATCTAATACGATGGTGAACTGGCATCAGGAGGAAATGAAAGTCTCTGTGCCTGTGCTGAGTCCTCTGCTTGTGCAAGGGCAACAGATGGGATGGGGCTGGGGGACAGACCAGGGTGGGGAGAGGTTCCTGGGCTCCCTAGGGAGCTTTCAGAGTCCCAGATTGCAGGGCCATCAGGGAGTTCCCAGGCATCAGCCTTCTCTGTTCCGTCCTGTGCCATAGGGCTTGGTATTTCCCTAAACCATGTCTGTCTGATGTCTGGTTGTTCCAGCATAGCTCAGGAAGAACCTCCCAAGCCAGGGAGAGAGGGGCTGGGAGACCCATTCAGCTATTCCAATAGAGGAGTGCCAGCATTGTTCCCCATTAAATAGGAAGATGCTATGAAAAGGGGAGCAGGGTACGTGGTTTATGTCACGGAGGTTCAGCCCACTGCCAAGGTGGCAGCTGTTTGATGAAGGAATTTCCTCAGTGCCTGAGAAGCAGTGTACACTTGATCTTTAAATAGCAATGGACAATCTTCTAGGGTGAATGTGAATTCAGATGTCAAGTGATGTTTCCTGTGGTCAACACAGAAGATGCTTTACCCCTTTCAATCTGGATGAGAGGTTTTGAGAGTTTCATCTTTTTTTTCAAAGATTTATTCATGTATGCATGCAAGAGCTGGGGTAAAGGCCAGAGATGCAGGGGGTGAGAGGATTCACCAGAGACAGAATGGGAAACAGAACAGGCAGACTGACTGAAATACACTGCTGAGGGGAGCAGCAGGCAAGTCAGGAGAGGTCTGCTGCACCATGTGGGTAGCTCCCTGGCTAGCTGGGGATTGAACTCATGCTGCAGAGGCTGCAGACAGCATCACAGTGCTATGCTTAACCCCTTGTGCCACCAGAGAGGCCCGAGGGTTTTGTCTTGACCTTTCTCCTAACCTGCTTGGATGCACTCCAAGGAGCCAGTGTGCTCTGCCAGGTCTCTGGAGAACTTGGGTTCCTGCAGCCCATGAAGCTCTTGCCAGGCCTCTCCTTGTCTTCATCCCACTTCCCAATGCTTGCTCTGGCCCTCTTCTGGCTTCAGGCAGAAACATCCATCTGGTCTTTATTCCCTTGCTACTCTGGTCACCAGTTAGGCCCTGGGATGAATGTTTATAAGGTTTCCGTTTCTTTGTTTTCAATCCCCCAGCCTCCATTTGTCCTGGGTTCTGTTCTAGCCAGATTTCTCCCCTAAACCAGGGTGGGAGTTGGGCTCACAGGCTGATCGTGGAAGGATCAGGCCGGCAGCACAGACTTGGGGCCCGCCTGCTGGGGGTTGAGAACGTGTCTGGCAGGGGGCAGGCGGGGGTTCATAGTAGAGATGCAGGAAGTGGTGTACGGGAGAGGCCTATACTGAGAGGGCAGGGGCCATCTGGGGATCTGAAGAGGCCAGTTTGGGCAGAACATAAGGTTTCTTGGATCATTGCCCAAGAAGGAGGGGCAGGATGGAGGGTCTGGCGAGAGACGGCCCAGAAACCACCCTAACAGAGAGGAAGGCGCAGGCTTCCTGGTGCTGGGGTCTGGGCTGCTCACCCAGGACTGTGCTCGCAGGAAGTGTGGGAGGGCTTGTTAAAGACTGTTTGTTCTCCACAGGCTGCAGGGCTGCCAAGGGTCAGTCTGATAAGAGGGAAGAGATAGACTCCTTGAGTTCTATACTCCAGACAGCTGCCTTCTCTCAGCCGGCCCCACAGATACTGGCAGTCTATTATGGTACTGCTCTTGCTCTATCTTCTCTCCTTCCTAAAATACACAGTCCCTGGCGTCAGCCCAGCTGGGTTTCCCCTGCCTGGTCACCAGCTTCCTTTCCTTTTGTGATCAGATGAGGTCTGCTCTAGTGGGGAGGGGGTTGGTGCTGGCAAGACTGAGCCGGTTCTGGGCCTGACATTGTGGTGGGAAACCACCCCTGGGTGGAGCCAGGGCTCAGGGCTGAGCCATGACTCTGGATCTGCCTGTTCTGCCTCAGGGTTGCCCTGCCCCTCAGTCAGCCAGACCTGAGCCATGTGAACTTTTGGGGGAGTCCTACCTTTGCCCCAGAGCATTGGACATCCAGCTGTTTTGCTGGGAGGAGTCTGAACTGGAAAGCTGATGATGTTTGCATTTGTAAGATCACCTTGGCCTCCCTGTGGAGAATGATGTGCAGGGGTCTCTTTAGCAGATCTGGGACTTTAACAGTTAGGGTATTAAATTCACTCACATAGAGTGATGGTGGTTGACCCAGAGAGAAGTTGAAAGATGAACCATTTGTGTGATAACAGGAAGGGGGACTTTGTCGTTGGTGCGTGAGGGTGCTAGAAGGGAGGAGGAGCAGAGATGATTTCGGGTTTCAGGTCTGAGGGAAGGTGTTCTTGCCCAGCAACTGGAAATACAGAAGGAGAACCAGGTTTGGGAGGCACAGAGCATGCATGAATTTGGGTGGGGACAGGTTGAGTTTGAGGTATTTGAGGTACTTTTTGGGTACCTAGCAGATATATCACCTAAAGGGTGGCATCCAGAAGTGAGTAGGATGCATGGGCCTGGAGTTCAGGGACAAGTCTGACAACAGGACTTTTAACAAGGTGATAAAATGATTTGGTAGGAGTTCCCTCCAAGACCCATTTTCAGATGAGGAATGAAACCTACTGTGTTCCATGTCCAGGGCCATCTTTATTTCCCCGGCAATTCAGCTGGTTCAGGGCCTGGCCAGGCAGCCAAAGGCACAGCATCTTCCCCTGTCAAGTCTTGCCTGCAGTTGGGGGTCTGACTGTGGGCAGTGTTCCTCAGAGCCTCCTCCCTACCTATACATCTGGGCAGTGTCCCTGGATGGAGAAGGGCTTGAGTCTTGGCTAGAACTGAGCCACTGCTGGGAAACCCAGAACACTTCTGTTCATGTGAGCTCGTGCGCCTCTGGGCTGGGTTAACCTATCAAGGACAGGGTTCTAGGCTCAGAGACAGCTGTCTGCGTCAGAAGGCCAGCAACACGGTAAGCATCTTTTAAGAATCTTTGAGATGAAATGGAAAGGGGTTGTGCATGTTTGCAAGCTGTATCAGTAGGACATCTTCAACTACCAAGGCAAAAACTCCAACCCAGAGTGCCCTCTAATAAAAGGGAGTCTTGCCTCCTACGTAAGTATGGCCGCCCACATGCAGGGAAGATGAGGGGCCCAAATGACACCATCCCACTCTGCCCTTCTCTGTGGTGCCGTCACTCTCAGTCCCCACCTGGCAGAGGTACCTGCCAGTGGTGCAGGGCACTGTCCTCCCCACCTCCCATCTCAGGATTCCCATAGGAGTCCCGGCTCACTCAGAATTGAGACCCACACCAGCCCTGGACCATGTACCATGGCTGGGTGCATTTGGTACCCTGATTGGTACCATGAAATCAGGGGAGTGATGTTTCCCTAAAGGAAAATAGGGTTGTTGTCCACTCTAAAGTATCAGGTATTGGGACGGCCGGCAGCACTCCATATGCATTGGGACTCACAGAGACCTTGCTGTCACTCTGCCACCTGTTGTACTTGTCAGAAGCACTGCTGTAGATCAACTAATCAGGGATTATTGCCACTTATTAACTTACCTTGTTAAAAACTGAATGTTCGAGGGGCTTCCCTGGTGGCCTGGGGGTTAAGTCTCAGCGCTACCACCACAATGCTCACCAGCCTGAGTTTGATCTCCGGCCAGCGAACTGACCCACATGGCACAGCAGAACTCTCCTGCCTCCCCTGCTGCCCCCCTCAGCAGTGTATTTCAGTAGATCTGCCTGTTCCGTTCCCCACTCTGTCTCTGGTGAATCCTCTCAGATGCACCCCCATCTCTGACCTACACCCCAGTTCTTCTAAGCAAAAATAAATAAATAAAGCTTTAAAAAAAAAAAAAACAGTGGGCCTCCCTGGTGGCGCAGTGGGTTGAGTGCCGTGCTGTGAAGCTATCTGCAGCCTCTGCAGCGTCGGTTTGATTCCCGGCAGGCCAGGGAGAAACCCACATGGCCTGGCAGCCCTCTCCTGCCTTGCCCGCTGCTCCCCTCAGCAGTGTCTTTGGTCTGTCTGCCTACTCTGCTCCCGCTCTGTCTCTGGTGATTTCTCTCACCCTCCTGCACCTCTGATCTGTACCCCAGTTCTTGTATAAATAAAAATAAATCTTAAAAAAAAAAAAAAAAACCTGAATGCTAGAATATAGACTGGGGTTTAGGATCCTTGAGTCATTCTGTTTACAGGTCAGGAAGTGGAGATTGAGATATTTGCCCCATATCCTCAAACCAGTAGACAGTAGAACTAAGATCAGAATCCAAATTGTAACCTGCAAGCTCTTTCCATTATGCAATAACATCTTTTAGGGAAGAGCCCCTGTACCCCACTCTCCATCCACAAGGACTGACGGAGGTAGGACCCCCCCCTCTCATGGTGGCTCAGGGCCATCCGTGTGATGCAGGAGTCTCATTGAGATGGGGGGATACTCACTGTGACTTCAAGTGTGTCTCCATCCATGAGGAGGCTGGCTTCACTCTGGCTGGCGCAGCTTCCCTGTCATCTTGGCTTCCTGAATGCTCACCCTCCCCCATGTGTCTCCTGGGACCTGGATAAGAGTGGAGTTCTAGGGCTGTTGTGCTTTCTAGATTGTATTGGGGTATTTCCTGCTGCGGAGGGTTGTGCCCCCTGTCTTTGGAAGAGAATGCCCAGGGCAGTGGCACCAGTTTCAGATACTGAAAGACAAATAGCATTATTTTGGCCTCAATTCCCATCACCTTCAATTTGTGAAGGTAAAGATATTTGACCTAGTTTCACAGAGACAGGAACGAGGTATTACTGAAAGAGTTTGCGCCTCCTCCAACTTAGCAATGGGAAACTCCGGTTTAGTCTTGCCCAGGCTTCTTGCTTTGGGTGGGCTTTTACCCCAAGCTCTGGCCCAGAAAGGAAGGGCAGTGTGTGTGAGGAACTTTGGGCTATTTGAGAGAGTGGAGTATAGATCAACAGAATGCAGG